CCAAGAGGCTCCTAAGAGCCTAAGAGGGCTCCAATAAGGGCTCCAAGACGGCCCACGAGGGCCCTAAGACGGCCCAAGAGGCGCCCGAGAGAGCCCAATAACGCCATACGACGGCCCAGAGTGGAGCCCATGAGGGAAACAACGAACCGACAATTCGAGCTCACCGCCCCGAGAGGGGGCCAGGAGGACTCAAGAGCGCCCCGAGAGGCCCCAACAGGTCCCCAGGAGACCCCCCCCCCAAGAGGCCCCCATGAAGTTCCTTAGAGGCCTTTCCCATAACTCGGGCAATCGACGGCGGCGCGACGCTGCGGGCTGGGGGAGTGAGCGGAGCGGTTAGATGACAACCTGGGGCGCATCCTCTCCGACGGGGGCGACGGCCAGACTGAGCCGCGAAGGATAGCGGCCTGTTGGGGGGTTTGTCGGAAACAAACGTGCGACCCGCTCTCAGGAGGAGGAGGAGGAGGAGGAGGAGGAGGAGGAGGAGGAGGAGGAGGAGGAGGAGGGAGGATGGAGGAGGAGGAGGAGGAGGAGGCGGAGGAGGAAGAGGAAGAGGGAAGAGGAGGAGCCGGAGAAGGAGGGGGAGAAGGATGAGGAGGGAGGAGCCCCAGCCGCCGTCTGGGAGCCCCCAGGAACCTCGCCCTTGGCCAGGAACACCCCGATGCATGGTTGGTGGAGCGCGCCCTCGCGGGCGTCGCCCTCTAAGAGGGCCCGAGGAACCCCGCGGAGGACTCCCAGCGGCCGCGGCCCGAGAGCTCCCAGCGCAGCTGTGCGGGAGCTCGTCAGGCCCAGGGGCAGCATGAAGTCGGGCCTGTCCCCCTACAGGGGGATCTTGGGCGAAAAATCCAAAATAGTCAAAAAATATCCCCTACATGCTCAAACATGGTAAACAATAGTCCCCGGACCATTTCTTGACTATGTTTGATTCTTCCCCCTCTTAAGGGACAGGCCCGACTTCGGGCCACGCCTCCACACCGTGCAGGGTCGGGGGCCCACGGCACCTCCTCCGGCAGCTGCGATCAGGCGCGGGCGCACCTGCTCGGGCTCAGCGCAGCGGGGGCAATCGGGGCGGCAGCCGCGCAACCCCCCGCCCCCCCCAGCAAGAAGCGACCCCCCAGCAAGAGAGGCGGGGCGCAGGAGCGGGGTCCGTTGCCTGATCTCCCGCCGGGTCGGCAGTGCTGGCGAGCGAGGTGGCTCCCTCCGCCCACCCACCGTGCGGCTGCGCACTGGGTGGGGGGACCGCAGTGCGAATCCTGCCCCTGCCCACCAGGATTTCTGAGGGGGAGGGTGGGGTTCACTCCGCTTGGGAGCTCCCGAACGAAGCGACCCCCACCCTCCTCCTCAGAAATCGTGGGGGGCAGGGGTAGGGTTCGCATGTGGCCCCCTACTGGGTGAGTCCATGAAGCTGGGGCTGCCTGCGAGCTTCGGGATCGAAGCTGTCGTGAGACTCATGACATGGCGCGCGAAGCGAGCGCCCGCTCAGCTCTGCAAGGTGGGCGTGGAACCCCAAGAATTTGAATTTGGGATATGCGGAGGGCGCTCGCCCTGCAACAGATCTAGCGTCGGCAACCGAGGCTCACGCGGCGGCGAGCGACCAGGCGATGCACTCGGGAAGGGGAGCGGCGCCTCGCTGTTCCAGGCGGCGCCTCTCCGGGCACGGGCGGTGGCGCGCGAGAAATCTTCGAGCTCCGCGAGGGCTTCCCAGACGGAGCGCCGCCTGCGGGCCTGAGGATGACGCAAACGGGAACACGGTCAGAGGGGTGCCCCCAATCAAATGGGGCAGGCGAGGAGGAGGAGGCTGTTCGGAACGACGTCGAGCAACTTAGCCGTACACATGTTGGTATATGATCAATCGCACCTCCCTGCCGACAATATTCGACCATCTCGAGCAACTCCGCGCGAGGCGAGCGTCTTCTCGATCTCCCCGCAGCTGGGACATAACATAGAAAACTCGGCCACAAGGTTGTGAGTCGGGCAAGGGGTTTGCCTTCGCGTTTCCAGGCTGCCCTCCCCAGAGGCATGAAACTTACAGCCACCAGCGAGAATGAGCACCAAGAGATGTTTCTGCTGAGCAACACGCATTCGAGGAACATGCCAAGTTTGTCGGGAACCTCGAATTGAGCCTTGAGGGCGCCGGGCGAATCCGACTGCCTCCTCGGATCCGAAGGGCCAGGAGAGGAGGAAGACGAGGAGGACGCAGAGTAGAGAGTAGCACTCGAACTGAACGTGCTGGAAGAAGGAATAGGCTCGTGTTCAGCAGTGCCGCCTGCCGGCAAGCAGCCCTCAGGCAGAAGACCGCCTGCCCTCTGCAAAGCTGCGAAGTACAACGGCTGAATATCCTACTGCACGGGTTCGGGGGCAGCAGTACACGTGGTGTCAGCCTTATCACGGCCGATCCTGCTCCACTGATCTCTGTCCTGCGTCTTCAGCGCGAAGAGGTTCTCGATTTCGTCGCCGACGATGTGGTACAGCTTGCCCCTGAAGTCGTTGCGACCCAACTGCCAATTCTGCCTGAAACTGGCGTTGACGCCAGTGGTCCTTGTACTGCTGCCACAGACTGCCACAAACACGCTGGCTAATTCGAACACGCGCACGAAATGGATGCGCCTGGTTACTCTGGTCGTACAATTGGAGGCCCACCCGGCGTGCAGTCTCGACGAACCACTTTGCGGCATCCTCGCTGACGAACACGATGGCGAAACTGATCGGCTCGTTGTAGCACAGCGAGTGGGCCAATCGCGTGATGTCTTCAGAAACTTTGTGAAGGATGTTCTGCGCGGCGGCCTCAAGAACCCGCTTCAGCAGCAGGCGCGGGAAGCCACCAACCCGGATCTATCTGCGATCAGCCACCATGCTACAATCATCACTTCCCTGATGGGCACCAGCGTCAGTCGCAGACGAACTAGGACGACCACCACTTGGGGCTTGAAGTCCGAATACATTAGATTCATGTTTAACCGGCTTCTAGCGACTCCGTCAGCGAGCTCCAACGATCTGAGAGATTTCCGCGGCATGAGTGGCTAATGATAACAGCTTCTTGTCTAATTTTTCGAGACGTGCCTCGTGCTTGGAGATGTCGGCACTCACGGCGTTGATCTCGCGGCGCATGGAGGCCTCGAGACGCGTGATGGGCGCGGTCGGCTTTGCGATCTTCTCGCTCCGGCTGGACATCCCCGAGAGGAGAGGCCCGGCGCGACTGCGATCCGAGCGCGAGCGAGTCCCAGCCATTATCAGCATCCAAATCGATCCGAAGACTCTCGGCGGCGACGGCCTGTGCCACGACGATCTCGAGGCGACGGGGAAGGACTGCCGTGCAGGGGTCCCCCTCCTCCGGCGCCCCTGCTGGCTCTCGCCACGGAAGCCACGGAAGCCACGAGCCGTCATGGCTGCAGCAACATCGGCGGTGGACACACCTCCCTTGAGCACACACCTCCCCTTAGTGAGAACGGCCTGGGACCGAAACCGACGGACCCGGACCCGCATTTTTGTGTTTGTGTGTTTTTTTTCGCCCTCGCGTGCGATCTCGCGGGCCGTTCTCGTGCGGATCTCGCTCTGCAGCAGCAGCGGGCGGAGCGAAGACAGAACGAGGGAGACCTGGACCCGCAAACATGACCGGCCTCGACGCCCTCCCACGAGCCGACAACGGCCAATTCCTTCATCGACGCGTCGGGGTAGGAGGTCTGTCTGGCCCCGACAACAGCCTGTGCCACCGGTGCGGATGCGGGGGCCCTGGCCGCTGCTCTGGACGCCCGAAATGGGTACGGAAAGAATGGGTACGATGCCCAACAGCAGTTCTGGTCCATTTGGAACAGGCCTCGCTGTCCACGTCGCCGCGGCCTGTGCCCATTCGAGACACCAGGCCGCCTGCCCAACAGCGGCCGCTGTTGGTTCGGGACAACATTTGCTGTTGGGCATTTTCTTTTTTCTCGCTGCCCAGGCATGCCTGGGCCGCACTCGACCTCCGCTCGGGGCCGACCTCCCCAGACCTTGTCTGGGAGGGCCAAGAAACACAGCGCCAGATTCTTGGCACCCGAGCTCCTGCCGCTGTCTTGGGGGGCAGTCCAGGTGCACGCCGGTCGGAAGGCCGTGGGTGGAGGCACGGAGCAGCCCAGACCCCCGACGTCATGATTTTTTCATGACGTCGACCCCCCGAGGTCTCGACCCAGTCCTCGGTTTTTCGTCCTGAGTCGTTTTTTGACGGTCCCGAGGGCCGGTAAGGGCCCCCCAAAGCCAAAAGTAATGCAAAATCTCCCGTCGTGATATTTTCACGACGCGAGGGGGTCTGGGGAGCAGGAAGGCATTGTTTCCGTGCCCCTTTCGGGCGTCCAAAGCTGCCCGCCTGCCGCGGCCCGCGCCCGGGCGGGGCAGCGCCGAGCGGGACACCCGGCGGTGCTGGAGGCGCTCCCCTGCGGGCAGGCAGCCCTCGGGCCCGGACCTCGCGGGGATACGACCAAGCACGAGCCGCCGGGGCCCCGCGGCAGGCGCTTGAGCCGAGATGGCTAAGGGAGGAGGAGGAGGAGGAGGAGGAGGAGGGGAGGAGGAGAGGAGGAGGAGGAGGAGGAGAGGAAGGAGGAGGAGGAGGAGGAAGGAGGAGGAGGGGAGGAGGAGAGAGGAGGAGGAGGAGAGGAAGGAGGAGGAGGAGGAGGAGGGAGGAGAGGAGGAGGAGGAGGAGGAGGAGGAGGAGAGGAAGGAGGAGGAGGAGGAGGAGGAGGAGGAGGAGGAGCGAGCACGGACACCGATGCTGACAGCGACAGCGACGGGAACGAGGAGGGGGAGGACAGTGCAGTGCCGTTCACCTGACTGTTGCACATCGCGCACCGCGTTGCGCGACGCGCGACTGTCTTCGCGGCCCCGCGGGTCACTTACAGAATACATCGGGGGTCTCTGAGAGCCAACGGGTCCGGAGGATGCATCGGGCACCGGGGCCTTCCGGAGCGCTCCTGAGCGCTCTGAGAGCATTCTGCAAAAGGCCCTGGAGCGATTCGTCCTCGTCCCAGGCGTGCCTCCATCGGCCAGACGGGGAGCTGCTGGAACGAATAGTCACCGTAGTCAGCGTGCTCGCGGACGCCGATGAGGTGTGACGCGCCAGTCAGCGAGCTGTCGACGGGGACGTGGAAGAGCTCGACCCTGAGGATGTTGTTGAGGCTGTCGCGCATGCGCACGTGCAGCACGTTGGCCATGGACTGGCTGGCGAGGACGGGCGTGGTGACGAACTCCCTGAAGAGAGCCCGATCCTCCGCCACCATCAAACTCTCGGCCAGCATGCCCCGCAGCGACCGGCTTGCACCGTGCTGCAGCGAGACAGCCAGCTGCAGAGCGTCGTCCGCTATGCGGAGACCAGCGTCGAGCTCGAAAAGGGCGTCGCAGAACGTGTTCAGCAGCCTCCGGGTTGCGGTGGTCTCGCCACGCTTTGCGACCACCTCGAGCTCATTGCGCGCGTGCAGGGCCATGGTCATCTCCCAGGCGAAGGTGGAGAGTATCACGATTAAGCAACACATTACATCAGCGCTCGTGTACACAGTCTGGGACATGTTCGAGATCGCCTCGATCTGTGAGGCCTGGGGATGGGTTGACGCGCTTTGCGTGTCTGCCATCTGGTAGCTATAGGTCAAGCTTGAAGCAACAGCGTGAAAGACACACGAAAGACAGACCATGCCGGAGTTCATATAGGCGAGGCTGAAGGTTATGCGCGGACAAAGCATGAACGCATTGACCGCAACCATCGCTTCGCCGCCAGTCGTCGTAATCACGATTGCCGTGCAGCCAAGCATCGCCACAACGTACACAAACAACGTTTGATTTACGTAACCAAAGCCGAGATCGTGGTCACAGCTGGCGAGAGCCTGGAGCCCGAAGGTCACCACCAATATCCCGTCCTGCGGAGTGTTTCTGAGGCGGGACTTGTTGCTTGCCGTGTTCACGATGCCCCACAAGATTGCGATGAACAAAAAGCCTTGGCACACAGAGGAGGTCACCCGGACCATCTCCCCCCGCTTCTTGTCCATCAACTTCGCCACACAAGCGTCCGCAGACAATTGATCCATGCCCCGTGCACGCCGCCAGCACGAGAGGATGACATCTCTCAGGCCAGATGCGCCCAGGCGCCCCCACCTCAACGACACAGCCACTACGTAGAGCCCAAGCGAAATGACCGAGCAGACCAGGACGACCCGATCCGCAACGGATCCCATGAAGCTACAGAGAGAACGGCAGTGACCACAACGATATGGCGGCAAGTGGAGGGGCCAGGGCTGCAAGGCATTCGCCTCCAGCCCTCCTCGGTTCAACGGCACCTGAGCCAAGACTGCGATTTCCGGGCGATGCTGCTTCCTCCTCCTCCTCCTCCTACTCCTCCTCCTCCTCCTCCTCTTCCTCCTCCTCCTCCTCCTCCACACTACCGTACAAATCTTCCTGTTCCTCTCTTACTGCGCATTGTGCCATGTCTGCGGCACGCCTGAATCTGGCAAGGGCGATCGGCTCGCACAAACTAACCGGGCAGTATGTCTGCCCGTTGCCGAAAGGGGGCGTCATGAGGGTAGTTCAGCGTGCGGAAGAGTGGCGAGACGTCGACTTCCGTTGCGATCTACACGGGCGTGTCCGCGCGGCACTGTTGCGAGTTACCGCGGGTCGGCTACGAAACACAGGCCCCCATCCTGGGCGCAGCAGCCTCTGGCGCGATGAAGGGGAAGCGAGCGGAAAGGCATCGACGAGAAAGGGCACCCCCTCCTACGTTGCGAGATGAAGCCTCTGAATCTGCGGCAGCGGATGTGCGAGCACCACCACGTGGCACGTGGCGCACATCGTTGACTTCACGGCGGAACCTGGCGCGTTGGTATTCGCAGCTGCCGGTGCGATGGAATACGAGGGCGCGGCGGCTAACGAGCTGCAATGGGAATGGCTCGACTCGACCTTGGACCGATGCGTGGTGCACTTTGCGGGTCGCGACAGGCAGTTGGCGAAGCCGCTCGGTGGCGACGCAGGATTCACCGACAAGGTGGACAAGCATTTCGCGGGGGCGATGATGGAGGCGCAGCGTTTGCTCGAGCCAGCTGCGGGCGAGGCGGAGGCAGATGGCGACAGCTCGTGCGCGTCGGCGCCATGGCAAATCATAGACATGCGGGGGCGGATAGCAGGATGCTGCAGCCTCGGGCACGGCCTGGTCCTGAAGTGGTGGCGAGATCCGACACCAATTCTGAGCGCAGTTCTGTGGGCGTCGTCGCCTGCGCACGCGGCGGCGTGCTGCAGCCCCTGGAGCGGCAAGGCCTTGACGACCGTGCGAGCACCCTGCACGGGTTGGCAATCGTCTGTCGCGCAGCTGGAGGTGCCTGACACTCGGGCGCAAGAGCAAACAACAGAGCGTGCCCTGGAGGAGGCCCGGCCCGCCACAGCGGGAACCAAACACCCCCCAAGAGATATCAGATCGCGTTGTAGAGCACGTACGGGCGCCGAAAAAGCAAGCCAGACCCCACCGACAAGGACTGCACAACACCATACCCCGCCCGAAAGAAGACCAGACCATCCGCCCCCAAAAAGCAGACCACCCAAAAGTAAACCAGACCCACCCGCACACTAAAAGAATACTGACCAAAGCAAGCCAGACCCCACACACAGGAAAACCAGACCACATATTAAAGTAAGCCACACATCCCACAACCACATATTAAAGTAAACCAAACCACCCACAACACCTGGACCCCGCCCTCACAAGAACACAGACCACCCAGCAAAGAAAGCCAGACGACGCGCCAAAGTAACTCGGACCGCCCGCCTAAATCAACCAGACCCGTCCAAATTAAACCAGATCCCAAGGGCCCAGACCACACAAGGAGAAGAAAGAAAACTGGGCCGCATCAAGAACCGAGGAACGAAAACCAGACCACCCACCAAAGTAAACCAGACCGCCGTTCAAAATAAACTCAGGCCACCCACAAAACCCAGGAAAGTCAACCACACCACCCAGCAAAGCAAACCAGACCACCCTCCAAAATAGACCTCACCACCGAGCAAAAAAGACATGGCCACCCACACAAGCAAACCAAATCACCCGCTCACGTAAACCAGGTCGCCCGCCGAAATAGACCAGACCGTCCGCAAAAGTGATTATGCCACAAAACTGGACCAGATCACAAGGGCCCAGATCGCAGCCGTAGAAGAAAGACAACTGGGCCGCATCTGGAACTGAGGAAAGAAAACCAGACCGCCGTGCAATAAAAACACAGGCCACCCACAAAGTAAGACTTGCAACCCAGGAAAGTCGACCACACCACCCAACAAAGCAAACCAGACCACCCTCCAAAATAGACCTCACCACCCAACAACACAGACCTGGCCACCCACTAAAGTGAACCAGACCATCCGCTGCAAATAAACCAGGCCGACCGCCCAAATAAATCAAACCGCCAGAACAAGTGAATACGCCGCCAAACCAGGCCACCCACCAATGTAAAACCAGACCGCCCCGCAAGTACACCAGACCGCCCCCTGGCGTCCCTGGTTGATTTCTTGGCGCACGTTATGATTTCGGATGGCTCATTTGGGGGGGAGGGGGAGAGGAGTGGGTGGGGTGGGGGGGGCGGCGGCGGCGGCACCTGACGTCGGCTCCAAAGGCACCCACGGAGGATCCAAGAAAGCTCTAGAACGGCCCCGGGAGAGCCCAGACGGCCTCCGGAGTGGCTCCTTGAGAGCCTCGAGGTGGCCGCAGGCACCGAGAGCTGTTTCAAGAGGGCCCCAAGATTACCCGAAGAAACCTCAGACAACGTCCGTGAGTCAAAACAAAAAACAAAATCCTGAGGGTCGGCTCTTGTCGTCGTCGCCGTCGTCGCGATAGTGCTCCCACGTCCTCCTCCTCCTCCTCCTCCTCCCCCCCCTCCTCCTCCTCCTCCTCCTTTCCAGAAAGAATGGCTACATAGTCCTTGTCCCACCGCGTGCTCATACACTTCCCTGATCAAGGCACCTCGCCTGGGCATCGTGTCTGAATGGGCTGGTGGCGTCAAGAACGCTCTGGGTCGACTGGCAGCACAACTACCCGTCGCAATAAACAAAATCAATGTGATGAGCCAGGTGTGGTGGGCCAGCCACTGCGGACGTCCCAAACAGCGCGCGTAGGGTCGTTACAAGTGCGATGCCGCGGCGGGATGCCGCCGAACGAATCGAAGAATCGTGCCGATTCAAACGAGAGACCCGTGTGCTGCTCGAGATTGAGCAGCGATGGTCTCTTGCGCCAGCGGCGAGGGACAATGGATCCGAGCACTTGCACCATTGCAGCGTCCTCCTACTCCTCCTCCTCCTCCTTGTCAATTTGTCCCCTTCCAAACTCCTCTTACCTCCTCCGACCTCTTTACCCAAAGCTATGTTTGTTTACCAACTGCCTCCTCCTTGGCCTACCCCTCCTCATGGTCACTTTCATCACCATCATCATCAGCAGCAGCAGCATCATCAGCATCATCATCATCAGCAGCAGCATCAGCATCAGCATCATCATAATCATCATCATCATCATCAACATCATCAGCATCAGCATCAGCAGCATAATCAACATCAGCATCATCATCAGCATCATCACCATCATAATCATCATCATCAGCATCACCAGCATCATCATCATCATCAGCATCATCATCATCATCATCATCATCATGTGCGTCGTCCTCCGTCTCACCCGTAAATTGACAAGTCTCCTTCCCCTACCTCATATTCCTTCTTCCCTTCCTCTATCTGCTTCTCCTCCTCCTTCTTCACCTCCTCCTCGCACATAGCTCGGACTCCTCTTCCTCCTCCTCCTCCTCCTCCTCCTCCTCCTCTTCCTCCTCCTCCTCCTCCTCCTCCTCCTCCTCCTCCTCCTCCGCACCAGTACTTCTTCATGTTCCCTCCCTCCGGAGGCCGCGCGCACAGGCCAAAGGAAACCTGACATCAACGTTGAACGTCCTCGTCCTCCTCCTCCTCCTCCTCCTCCTTATCCTCCTCCTCCTTCTCCTCATCCTTCTTCTCCTCCTTTTCCTCTTCCTCCTCCTCCTCCTCCTCCTTCTCCTCCTCCTCCTCCTCCTCCTCCTCCTCCCTCTTCCTGCTGGTCTCTTCCTCCGCCTCGTCGTCGTCCTCTTCTGCTTCTCCTCCTCCCCATGGTGGCGTCTCCGGCTGCGCAGCTCTGGCTTGCCATGGCGGCGCTGCCCCCCCGCCTGGCAGACGAGTCCCCCAGGCGAGCAGCTGCGGCTGAGCGCGTTCGACCGCATCGCGGTGCCCAGGCCTGGGCAGGAGTTCTGACACAGGCCTCGTGCGGCCACTGCGAGGACCACTCTCCAGCCCGCTGGGCTAAGCTGGGACTTCGACCCAGGTCGGCATCGCCTCGACTGTTGGGCGCCTCTCCGAGGGCTGCGTCTTGCTTTGGCATCCTGCCTTGGATGCCCGAGTAAGGGGCTCTGGCGCCTTCCCTCGCTCCTGGATGTCCTCGAGCCCGCTCGGATGTCGGGATGACCAGGGCACACCGAGTCTGGTCTGTACTGGCTGCGGCATGCGCCCGGGCACGTCACGTCGGCTGCGACTCGGCCTGGTCCCCGACCGGGTGTAGCCCTTGCTTTAAGCCGGCGGCGCAGAAGGTCCTCGAGCGCGGGCAGCAGATGGAAGTGCGAATTGTGATCGAGCACTTTCGAAGGCACAATGTACGAGACGTCGCACACGGTGGGTGTAGCCCACATGGCACGATACCACACGCGATGCTGAGACCGCCTGCGCCGCCACGGGTGACTTTCCAGCCTGAGGGGAGCCTCTCTCCTTCCTCCTCCCTCCGCGGCCGCTTCTGCTCTCTTTCCATTCGCACAGGCGCATCTCGCCACGGAGCTTCGACCGCGACGAGCCTCCCGGCGCTGCAAACACAAACGCATCCTCGTCCTCACTGGTCCTCGTCCTCTGCCTCAAGATCTTACGCGCAACCGCACCATGGCTGCCCGACACTTTCAGGCTGCACCTGATAGAGGCTACAGTGGAGCATTCGGTCCACGCAGCAACGTCCCCTTGGTCGAATCGAGCTCCTACCAGTAGTAAGTTTAGATTCTGAGGCAGAAGTCATGCATATCCCCGTAGTGACATATTGACACATGTTCCTATGCCTGTCATTGCGAAGCGACCAACTAGACGCGCGCGTAGTACCCCTACTGAGCTCCGTGCCCGCTGCGTCAGCAGCGGCGGCGGCGGAGCCAGCGAGCATCGGAATGCCCCCTTTCGTGAAGCGTCCTGGTGCGGCCCAGCAGTCGGCGGCGAATGTGCGCAAAGTGGCCGCCAGACGGGAAGGGAGGCGGGGGGAGAGGAGGAGGAGG